GTGACAGAACTGTAAGAGATCTTCACAGAGAACTACGTTGAACTAAGTTTGATGTCAGATCACTCGTGGCGAATAGTAGGATTATCCATTTCATGCGTTTTTTGGGCGACCCCTCACCTCGAAGGACAGGTCCGGGATCAAATCAAAGCCTTAATGCGCTCGTAAGTGACAGTGGAGATGTGAAGTGAAAAACTAGTAAAACGTGAATAAGCCGTCAACAAAGGCAACCACAAAGCCCACTCTCAACAGCGAAATTCAATAGCATTGATTTGTGGGCGGGGCATGTGGTGGTGGGCGGACCAAGTAGTAAGTCCTAGCCTTATTAAATCGTGACGCCAAGTGGGTACATGCTCTGCACTTGTGTTCTAATCCATATTTATCGTACAGGAGCTCCATTTCGTGCAAAAATCCTGAAAATCTCTGATTTATTGACAAATGACAAGATTTTTAGAATGTCGTCAATCGTTTTGATGATTTGACAATAAATTTCGTTACTGATGTGATGGAGATGACGCTCGATTATGTGAAGAAAGTGATGCATTACACTGCTGAACGAGCACGAAGTAAGTCTACATCAATCTATCAAAACAGGTTATCTGATTGCGTCATGGAAAAGGAACTACTTCAGTCTCTTTTTGATTCATCAGCCCAAAAAACGTTTGGTTAGAGGGACCTGAAATGGGTGAACAGTGTTGTGAATTCTAAAACAAGAAGTGGTGTTAGCTTCGGGTGGAGGGGTCGTAATGGGGTTTGAAATACGTCTCGGGGCGGACTGATAACAGGTAGGAGAATGAAGTAGCGGCAAGAGGAAATATATAGTGACACTCGTCATTGCTCGATTGTAGTTTTGAAGGCTGAGAAAGGTGGAGGGTGGAAGGTTGAAAGTTCAACGGAGCTATTGTTATCGACTGGATGTGGTATTAATGATCACAGGGCAGGAGAGGGAGAAATATTGAGACCTGTGTTCATCGAGACGGGTCATTTCTTTTCGAATAGATAATTACCCTACGGGCATGTGCGCTATTTTCACACTACCCACCTGTTTCTGTGGAACAAACAGGAATTCAAGGGACCTCCGGGTAGGCGTGATTTCCATTACTTGTTTGAGGAATTGGAATCCTTGAAGTGCATGAAGTACGTGACCAAAGTTTACCGAGCTTGTGGAAGACGAAGCAATATATTTTTCAAGATAGAAAAGTGCTTTTCCAATTTCACCGTGAGGTGGAAGATTCCACCGCGAGTGGGACCTAGCACTCCGCGGTGGAACCCCACCTAGATCTTTAGCGCCTCAGCCTTGTCAAATCATCCCAAAAGTTGTGTATGTGCTTTCCGTTTGCAAACCGCTGCTACTTTCTCAATTAAATGCCTTACTTCGATACGAATTCGTGGACCTTCCCTCTAACGATAAGTTCGGAGTAAGTCATAATTCGACCGGACCTTGGTGGTTCTTTGTGAAGGTGCCCTTATACATGATTGCCAGAATTAAAACTGACATTCTTGTTGATATTTGAAATATCAATTTGAGGAAGCACCACAGTTTCACGAAATACACCCTTTCTACCCAATTTCAGTTGTTGTCGTTTGCGTAGATGACGAGATCAAGCGAGAATTCATACTCTACTTGAAGGATGCTGGCTATTTGAGAGACGATTTTATATATATTTTTGCTGATTCGGATTCGGACGGATTTTGTGCGTTTCCTTCTCTTTTTCATTAATAGATGCAATAGGCAGGGTCTCGGTCCGTTCGCGCTATACAACGGGGGGTCCGTGTTGGGGTTGTGCATGGTTATCCATATCTTGGGAAAGTGCGAATAGGGAGCGTATTTGTGGAAGTGAAGGAGGCGTGGTTGCGATGAAGGGGGCCATTTTTAGCGGGTTTTTGGAATTGTGGCAAAAACTTCAAAAATTAAGTGTCAAGTAGGGATTATCAGAGAATTTGCTACTCCATCAGACATATGTATTTACCTATCGCTGAGAGCCATTTCTGGAGGGACAGAAGTACGGAGTGGGGGCTCAGAATCAAATATAGAAGCAGCCAATAAGGGTGAGGGAGGTAGGTGGGGTGGGGAGGTCTTCCAGGTTATGGAGCGTTTTTTCGAAATGGTTTTCTGCATGTTGTAGGGCTCATGCGAGGAACACAGAACCATGATCCATTTTTCCTGAACGCCTCCAGGAATGTCAAAACAGTGGTGAAGAAATGGTCCAGAGTTCGATCCCCGGTGATGACTAATTTTTGCAATATAGTTTGGCGCCCCAGATTGCCGCCAAATGGCGCCATCGTCGAGAATAGATGTCATTGTCGTGTTTTGCGGCAATTTGGAGGCGCCAACATAAATTGCAAAAATTTGTCATCACGGAGGATCGAACTTTGGACCATTTCTTCCCCGCTGTTTTGACATTCCTGGAGGCGTTCAGGAAAAATGGACCATGGTTCTGTGTTCCTCACATGAGCCTCTACAACATGCGGAAACCATTTTAAAAACGCTCCACGTACTAAAAGACCCCCCTTGTTAGGGCTGGTTGATGGTGGTGGGAGGGGGGTCGTATTGAGACCAGCCTTAAGGGTAGTGAAATTTTTGGAAAAATGCGACGCACTGGTTGATCCTGGATCGAAGAGAGGCAGGTCGAACAAAACAGAGCATATTAGCAAACGAGGTGCATCCCAAAGGGGTTGACCAACGCTGACGGACTTTTGTTCCAAGATACGATAATTGTTTCCACGAATAAGGTCTCTGGATAAAAATTGGAGTTTGTAGACGTCAGAAATTCCGATGGACAGGAACATTACGTTTGGCAAGACCTCAAGAATACGACAGATGGAAGAGACGAAGAAGCCAAAGATGCATTCACATATGTGTTCTCGATTACTAGTGTAAGATCTTGATCGAATTTCTTTTTCCTATTGAAACACACTCTGTAAAAACATTTGTGTATCGCACCGAAAACACAGTCCGAAAACAAAGTAAGGCGCTCTCGCAAAATACGGGGGCAATGTGATGGCAATGCACTTGATCGTGTAAAACATGCCCTTTTTGTAAAAAACGAAACCAAACCCTCCCAAAGACTCCAGGATGCGTCAGCCATTTTCATTCCCTCTCAGGCTTACGATTAGTATGACCGATGTCAGACTTTGCGAATCGAGCGATTCGGCGTCCGCGGTCGCGTCGCGTACAGCGAATTGAGCCATCCGATGTACGCGAGCTCCATTCCAATGTCTGACATCTGCCTATCAAGAATGTCCACGTATGTTACGATAGCGCCCAAAGTCATGCATTAGGGATAGTTTTACTCTTGGCGGGGTACCAGAATAGTAGATATTCCGTGGACAATATAGTATTTTCCACTGCAAATGTATGCAAACCGAAATTCTATGTTCTACTTTCCCTGAATTTTAGCACAGAGGTGCAGCTGGAAACAAGGAGAAATACAATCAATTCGGTGAAGAGGTCATAAGGCGAATGAAGGATCCACCATTCAGTTGCACTACTCAATGTAGTGGCAAAGAATACCAAACGGTAAGCAGAATAATGCCATTTCCCTGTGTTCTGTAGTTTAGCGAGCCCACCAGCTGCCCGACAGGAAGCCCGTCGCGCGGCAAAAGGGAAGAGTCAGCGGACGAGCGCGTGCTGTAGTGATTGCGCGTCAAATCATCAGATTGTACCATCATACATACTTCCTACATCGCACAGCAGCACAGCACACGACTCGTCCGCTGACTCTGCCTTCTTGCCGCGCGACGGGCCTCTTGTCGGGTACCTGAGCTCACCAGTCCTTAACGTCTCTGTTTCGATTCTTCTGACCGCCTCTACGTCATGCTTCACCAGCTGTTCGTCTCTTCTACTGCTTCTCCTTTTCTAGCAAATTGTCAAGAACGTCCGTCCACAGCCAGCCGTCTATTAGCCATTCAAAAATGGGGGGGGGGGGGCATTTGCATTCTAAAAGAAAGGTCGCTTCTGCTGTTGGCCATGATTAACCATCTCCTGTAAAAGTGCGAACGGGTAACGTGGTACGGGAGAGGGACTTTCTGGTGTTTCTGGACTATTTTGATGAAACCCTCATGAAAAGAGCGTAAAGTAGAGAGAATCACAGAACCTGCTGTGGTGCTGAACCTTGCTCATCCGCTGTTTGGAGGGGAAGTGGGCGGACTTGGAGCGTGTCGACTAGTCTCAGAATCAAATGCTATGAAACCAGCCATGACGGTGAGGGTGGTAGTGAG